GGGACAACAGTGATTATAAGGGCAATGAGATGTTCGGGTACGAGGACATTGATAGCCATTTTACTAGAGAAATTTCATCATCACAAAGGGAAAAATATATACCGCAACATCTTCAATCATTAAATAAATACTATGATAAGATTGGTTGGGTGACTACTTTATCTACTTGTACGTTTTGAGTGATAGAATAATTCACTCAATTTAAGTTTTTGTTGGAGTTGGAAGTGATGTCGAAGAATTGAGTAAGCTAAGAAAAAACAAAACGATAAACAATAAATAAGGATGATGATGGAGATCAATAATACAACCTAGGAAGCTTCTATGGAGATAGCTATCAAGTTTTGTGCTCAACCGTTCTTCAATTTTTTCTCTCACTAATTCATAAATTTTTGATAAATTTAGTATCAATGAACATTCTAGATAGCATCAAAGAAGTAGGGATGGCAATGGAATGAGGAGGAGGAGGGTGGTGTGAGGGTGGATAGTCTCCATCCCCACCTATCGGAAATTTTGGTAGACGGGGGGTGGGAGCATTAAAATATCCCTCATCTAGATTAATTATTTTTTAAGTATAATTAATTTAAAAATATAGAAAGAAAATAAAAAAATTATGTTTCGAAAAACTTGAAAGGAGATCATGTTTCCTATACCTTCCTATTTATCATTTGGGAAGGAGCAATATGGGGCATCCCTACAAAGAAGGTTCGTCTCTTTCATAACAATTTTGGAAAAACAGTGCTAAGCATAGCCGGTTCGACCTCTAGAAACGAGGTAGTTATCTAAGGCCCCATATTAAACGAAAGCCATGTTCGCTGATACCTATGTGACAAGTCGCATAGAGTTCTAGCTAAGCAAAATTCCAAGCAAGCATCTTTTCTTTGAGGCAAATGTATTTGAGAAGGACGACTCATCTGTCTCCTCGATGAGGTGATGACGTCACATTCTATCATCTTGTTCACATCCATTTTTGAAGCATCGAAGTGCAATCCAACGCGCAACATACTCCCTTCCAAGACGACATAGCTCCTAGAAGACTTGTCACCTTATCGTTTCGAGGCAATCAGAGCGAACCCAATCCTTAGCCACACTCGCTGAACCTTTTGAGATTGAGGTGATTGTAAATCAGAGCGAACCCAATCCTTAGCCACACTCGCGGAACCTTTTGAGATTGAGGTGATTGTGGTTTGATCCTTGATCCCTTGTGCAATTTGCAATATTTGAGATCTCTAACTCCTGTTGTATCATGTGATATGATGGAAGATAACAAACTTATAATTACTAATATGTGAAATCTTTTAACTTGGTATATGAGTCGTTGGGATGTAAGCCATATGTCCAATATCCCAAGGACCTCAATTATATCACTTTTGTCTATAAATATTCACACATTGTGTCATTTGAAGGTAATCACAATTTGATATTCACACGTTAAAATCTAAATTCGACTCTTGTATTCTCGTTTCTTCATACCAATTTTATTGTTCGATATTTGAATTTGTGCGTCGGAGTGCATACGATCGCGATCTCACCTTGTTACTTGGAGTCGTGGTCTGTACCTCTGACGAGCGTGTCCAATTGAGAAACTAATGTAAGCATAAAGAAGAGTTGGAATTTGTTGACGTCTTGGCCCTTTGTGCATGTGTGTGTATACATATATATATATATACACACACACACATACATACACACACTAATTTTCTTGAATTTACTTTAACGACATAAACTTTTGTCTCCGAATAAAATCAAATATTCTCAACAAATACTCTATATTAATAAAATAATAATTTCAGATTAATTTTAAAAAATCTTATAATTTAATTTATAGATAAAACAACCTTCTTCAAATAAAACAATAATAAAAATTAAATATTACCTTAAAAAATTATTCTCGACAAATAGTTTATATGTAAAAAAAAAAAAAAAGTTTAAATTAATTGTAGAGTTGTTCTTCGTTGATAATTTGAAAAAAAGTAAAAAATTCTTAATAATATAATCCATCGATAGAACTTCCATCTTTAAAATATAGTTCTAGAAAAGATTAAATATTACCTTAAAAATTACGTGACAATTATATAATTCTCAGAAATAATTTAAAGTTACACACAAAATAATTTTAGAATAATTTTTTTAACTCTTACCTAAGAATCATAAATCGCTTGAGTTGCATCTGCTTAAATTTTCGTAAAGATTGTGACAACCATTCTAGTCAAAATGAAAACACAAGTTCGGAAATCTGTCATCTCTCACGTATAAAATGTCTTGAAGTTCAAAACCGTTAGTACATGTTAGACTCGACTAGGTCACTAGTTCCCACGCTTATGTCTTGTTTGAGCTCCATTTCCAAAAAATACATTTTGTTAAAATTGATTTTTTTTTTTTTAAAGAATGTGTGATTCAAAATGGGGATTTTTTTAAATTTATATACAAAATTATTTTATTAAAAAAAATATAAATTTTATAAAAAATGAATTTTGAAAAATGAATGTCAAATTGGGACTAAAAAGCGTCTGGATAATTATGGCACACTATTCTGGCCTTTGGCCCATATTTTAGTAGGTAAGACAACCCACTCACACAGAATAGTAACCCGGCCCACTTATTCGCAAGGTAAAATTTCCCATTTCCAATTTGATTTTTTAATTTCATGCAAACAGTTCGTAACATAATTAAATTTTTAATGATTGACTGTAAATTTATCCTTTCAATTCGTTATTGTAAGAGAAAAAGGCACGGTTGGTGCCATAAACCATGTCCATGAGAAGCAACAGCAGTAGCAATTACAGTAGAGAAGACGATCGGAACAAAGATGCTTCTTCACCTTCTACTCTGGAAATGAAAAATGTAGTCGTTATTGAGCTCCACACAAGAGATAGAAATTCAAAATTGATGGTTTGATGTGATGAATAACGATCATATTTTTCATTTTTATGGATGAAAAATGAGAAACGAACGGAGGCTTAGTATATTATGATGAAATCGATGAATATGGTTGAAAATTGTGGTTCTCATAAAATGAATCATTGAATTTTTTTTTTTATAGAAATGGGAACCAAACAAGGTCTATTTTCAAGCAATTTTAGTTGAAATATTAGCTGAACAGCACGATTTAATTTCAAGCGATTTTTAATTATCGAAACTTAAATCGAACTATTTTCAAACGATTTGGTTCGATTTTTAAAAGGTCGAAACCCAACCCAAATCGAGGATTACAAAACACCATTTTCAATTCAATTCGACGAGTTAATGTATTTTTTGTTCATCCCTAATGGAGGAAAAAGATACATGAAGATTGTGACCTACAAACTAACTACAAAATTATTTAAGAGCCAAAAATCATAAAGACAGACACAGTATGTAATTGATAAAAATCCAAATACATATAGTTGCTTGAAAAGGGACTGCTCAACAAGTTCCTTCTGCCCCCCAAAAAAAAAGTTATTTCTGCATCAATACTGCCACTGGCACCATGTGGCCGTGGGTGAAAAGGACAAGCAAGCCCCCCCACAATGCCTTCTCCGAATTACAGATACTGTAGAAACTTCTTAAATTAATATTTTAAAGAACAAGAAAAAGTATAGTAATTTTTGAAAAGTGTGCTTTTTTATTTTTATTTTGAGAATGTTGGCCCCATTTTTTTTTAAAAAATTCATTTTCAACCACACATTCTCATGTAAAATAATTTTACACGTAAATCGAAAAATTTTATTACTTTTTAATTACACATTCTGCAACAAAACACTATTCTAAATTGCATTTTGCCAAAAACAAAAAATGGGGCTCAAACAAGATTTTAATCTCTTTTTATTGGTAACTAAGAGCATTTTCAAGAAATTTTCTAATTTTAAAGAGCACGTCTACAATTTAAAGGGTATCTACACATTTAAAGAGTAAAAAAATTGAAGTATTCAAGCATGCTCTTTACATTGTAACACGTAATCTTACTACTCCCAAAAAATATTTTCCTTCTTTTATTTTCAATAGTTTCCTTCAAATTATTGTATTATTTTTTCTCCATTGAAAATTGAAATACATTGAATGCATGTAATTATAAAAAGTGGTTTGACTCTCCAAGTGTCAAAGTCCTCAAAATTAAATTATTAATTTAAAGTATCTTTTGGAGCATAATTTTAAAAGTTGATTCTTTAAAATAAAGAATATCTTATATTTCCGTTTGGGAGCCATTCTTTCTTAGATTAAAATCTGATTTTAATTTAATTCAAAGTCAAACAATCAGACTTCGTTTGGGAGTCATTCTTTTTTCATATAATACATTTTTTCTTTCACATCAAGTGGAGTCCATGGCTGGAAAGAGACACAAAAAATGTGTGATTTGACACAAAATGCATTTTTTTGTAGAAAAATGGTTACCAAATGAAGGCTTAAAATCTCTTAGATGTTCTTAGTTTGTTTGTGTAAAACAGATTATATGCCATGTGTTTTATATGAACCAATAAAATTTATAAATTTTATTTTTTCCATTTAAGTATTTATCTTTTTACGAATTAAACATTTTATTGTTTAAAATAAATAATCTCCATTTAACTCAAAAATGATAAAGTCATAAAATTTAAAATATTCCGCACCTATTTGACCCCTATTTTTTTAAAACTCATTTCCCTAAAATTCGTTTTCAATCATACATTTCTTTGGTCCACAACTTTAGGCAACTTTCAACCACAAAATTAATTCACTTTTATCAAAATCTACTAAAACTATAATTTTTTGCTAAACTAGAGGGGTAAAGTGAACACCAATGCATTCACAAGCAGCTAATAGATATATTATATTTGTCTCTGGAGGTAGAACATCATGCAATCTTTATACATGAGAACCCAATCACAGAAGGAACACTTCTAGTTCAATGAAGACCGTATTCAAACCCTCCAAGACAAGGAGACAATAAAACTGACAAAAATCCTTGTTTGTCAGCATGATGATGTTCTTTTTCCTATTTATTACTGGCGGGCATAAATGCAATAATCCAACAGCAGACCAAGCTTTCATCCCATGGCATACTTCTGAGTCCAGGATCGAGCAGTGGTCTCGTACTTGGCTCTATCAGTCTTGTACATGTGAGCAATCTCAGGCACGAGAGGATCATCAGGATTTGGATCAGTCAGCAAGGAGCAAATCGAGAGCAGCACCTACAAATTCAACCGGTGTCGTACATATGGCACGTAAGCAAAGGATCACTCATAAAAGTACCATCATTTTTATAATAATGCATACAGAACAGATTCTGACTGATTGGTCAGCGGCCATATGCAATACAGACTACAGAGAACACGCAAGATTGCAAGGATGTCGCATGTCACCTTTGATACTGTAAGGGCAGGGCTCCACTGCTCTTTGAGGATATCAAGACAAATGCTTCCATTGCTATTGATGTTTGGATGAAAGACTTTGGTCTTAAAGGATACCTGCTTGGTGCACAAATAAACAATAATAAGCATCTGACATGTACACGAAGTGGAAAAATACTGGGAAGGATGAAAAACATCAAGCTATTTTCGGTGGTTAATCGAGTACTTGCACGTGTTTGATTCATAGATAAAAGAAAGAAAGGAGAGCATAGCAAAACCAGGCCTAAGCATGTTTGGCTAAGCCTAAATAAAAGTGAAGTTACTTAAAAGCAACAATAACTTTCAAGTTTAACCAAATCTGTAAATTCAAGTTACTTCACACTCACTTAAAAAGGTAACTTTGCTTCTTTCTAAGGCTTAGCAAAACATAATCTTGTCTATTTTGTCTCAAGTTGCAATGTTGCATTGTGGATCTGGAACATTATCAAATGCAGTTATCCAATCTCGAGTCTGAAAAACTGAATAAAAACCAAAGATCACTATGTGCTGGGCATAACAACCTTAGCCCCTATTTGACCCACATTATTTTTTTCATTTTCATTCTTCTACTCATTTTCAATCACACATTCTTATATAAAATAATATTTTCCATCACATCAATAACTTTTCCTTCATTTTCAACCACACATTCCCCATCACATCACTTCAAAAAAATGCATTCTCTCATTTTAATGTGCACCAAACAGGCTCTTATTCAATAATTACTTTGCAGCTTTTCAGTGAGTTCAAATCCCTGGTCAACAATTTCTCACAAGCATGTCTAGTACAACACCCAATCTTGCACAAGGGTGTACTCTCATTCCATATTCTAATATCAAGGTGTTTTTGAAGTTCATACATGATAGCTCTATAGCCAAAAACATGGGCAAACATAGATCTATAGAAGATTGAGATATAGGCTGGGTTAATGACCTAATCATCCTACTGCAAAACTAGCAAGCATCAATGCATCATCTTACTCCTCGTGTCCCAGCCAGAAGGCTGAAGTTTATTTGTCATAACTAGACATTATTTATGCGGGTTACCTTGGGTGGTTTGAAAGGATAATCAGGTGGGAAGTGAATAGTCACAAGAAACACACCCCCTGCAAAAGGGCTATCTGAAGGACCCATAATTGTAGCTTGCCAATGGAACATGTCCTCACCTACAGGCCCTGAAATAAAAATTCAACAGCAATTTGAGCTTTAAAGCTAAATGACAACAAATTCACTTATTTATGATTCCAATTTATTTAAAAATTGAAATTCACAATCAACTTACCTTTAAAGCAATTAAAAATCGTGCCACAAAGTAAATAAGCCTCTATTTGGGCTCCATTAAAATTTTAATGCGTTTTTATCTCTCTTCTTTTCACCCCCACATTATCCCATAAAAAATAGTACACGTAAAATCCAAAATTTTTCCTTCTTTTCTTAACTATACATTTTTCAAAAGATCACTATTCCAAAATACAGTTTTCCATAGTAAAATTATGTAAGGCCCTGTTTGATTGCACTTCAATTCCATGGAAGATGGAAATTAAATTCTATTTTCACATTTTTGCATGTTTGATTGCCCAAATTTTCCATATAATTGGTTTTCCATATTTCCCCCACATGTTCACATTTTCTAAGTTTTTGAGAAAAAGCTTTTCCCACCGGAGTTCTAGGCAACTTTTTTTTTTTTAATTTTATTTTTTTTGCAATGGAAACAAATTGTATCCCTTTAATAGACAATTTTCATGAAAAACAAAGTCAAACGAATACTAAAAGATTCAAAATTTCAATATTTTTTAGGTAAAAAATTATATCAATCAAACAGAATTGATTGACCATTCCCAATAAAACAAGTTCTTATCAATTCAATTTCCTGGAATTCATTTTTTTTATACCCAAATTCCATTCTTGCAATTATCCGGACCCTAAATCAATTCAGCATATTGAAGTATTGCTAGTTCTCATACTCTCCATTATGCGATTGTTGTATTAAAAAGACCTTGTCAGCATAACCTATCATTCTCATGCAAAATGTCAAGAACATAAATTAACCCTTTACACGGATTTCACACCCCCAAATTTCATTGTTGATTAGTAAAAGGCTTTAGTGTGCATGCAACAACCTCCATTCTCTTCCTCGCCGGAAGAGTAATGGCGATTTTGAGAACCACAAAGACTCAGTTTGAGTAAATATAATAAAAACTTATCAACTTAAGACAGAAAAAGCAAAAACCAATTTCAGATTTCCATTAGCACGGAAAGAATCAGGAGATTACTGGAAAACATATGCTATAACATAGAGAAACTGACATGGAAATAAAATTTTGGGGTGAGAAAGAAACCTGCACTGCAGGATACGGGAGGGTCCTTCTGCAAGTCCTTCAGTTCTTTCTGAATCCTCTTTGAAGCCATCTTTGTATAGGCCAATAATAAAGAACCTGAAAAATTATTCATAAAGGAAGATTTGCTGTCCAATCAAAAATGGATGTTATAATGAAGAGGAACAAGTGCTCTATTCTTGAGGACTTAAATTCCTACGTCTAACCAAGAAGGTGCTAAAAAATTAAGGTAGCAACACGGTGTAAAAAGAGTTATCAGGTGTAATAATCACTTATTGGAGCCAGGAAAAATTTTAGACCATGAGGTGTGTCTGAAGAACATATTCCCCAACCATCATCGTGGGTCCATAAAAAAAATAAATTAATTCATTGTATCGTTTTTGTTATTAGTCCATGCTCACCCTATAACTTTCACTATACATAAACCCAATACAACATGAAGGGAGGATTCAAATTTGGCACGTACACTTATGATCTGGATTTCTTCCATACTCAACGAGAAAATTTGACAACCCATAAAAATCCCACCCAGATAACTCAATTGAAAATCAGATTCTAATTATTTGAAGAAAAGACAAAAAATTTGCAAAATGGATTGGTAAAAGATGCAAATCCTCGGAAAAAGAAAAACCTCACATTGAAGAATAATTTTAAATTACACAATTTTCCAGGATCACTGTGATTTCTCCTTTTTCTTATTTGGAAAAAATAAGAGCAATTTTTTTTTTTTAAGTCCAAGAGACTAACTGGACAGCGATCTACTCCCTCCCTATATATAAAATCAGTAAACATATAGAGAAGGAGCTCATCGAATTAGGAAAACGTAATAATTGAACAAATCACAGCAAACCATTAACCTTAACAAACAAAAAGGAACATATAAAAACTTTGAAAAATCAAGAATTAAATAAACACTCACACTTTACAGCAAATAATAATATTATTAAATTCGCACAATCACAGAAACATATACACATACAACAATCACTGATATACAGAAAAGAAAAGCATGGGGAAATAGAGAGTTTAAATCTTACAGTTACAAACTACAGAGGTGTAAGAAATCCTTCACGAAACCAAACAGATTTGCTGTTTGCAGAGAGAAGAGGGTTAGGGCGAAAAAATAATATAAAAAACCGCGTCCATGCTTTAATCAGAGAGAATTAGAATAGGGAAAATTGCATCTGGAGTCTCTAACGTTTTCAAAAAGTTCAAATGGATCCTAAGTCTTATTTTTCAGCACTACCCTACCCGCCTTTGAAAATAAAACAGCATTTATAAAATAAAAATTAAAAAAAAATTAAAAAATTAAAGGAAAATAATTTTTTTTTGCTTCCCAAAATCCATCCACTTCCAAGCTCACATTCCTCAAAGTATCAAAACTTTAGTAATAATCTGTACAACTTTCAAACTTCCAATTGTATAAACTCAGTTGTGCTTTGAGTCAAGTTTCAAATTTTCTCGTTGTATGCAAAGCCCATACCACGATCGATCGCATGACAAACATATCCATATATTGTGAAAATCAAGGAGATTTGTTATAAAAGCGGTGGTGGGAATGGTTTTCTTTTCTTTTTTAATGAAATCGTATCTTAATTTTATCCTTAAATATTGTTGAGCATGTGCCATTCACATGCCTAGATAACAAATTTTGGATTGATTCCATCGTATCCTCGCTCTACATATTTATTTGAAGGTCGCAAAGCTAAAAAATAAAGATTCAGGAATTCATTTGCACTTCTTAAATGTTAGGGACCCATCTGCAAATTTTCCATTAGAATGATGATGCAATTAGCTTGACAAAATCAGAGAGATTCTTGAATTAATTTTCACATAACTGTTCATAATATTAGCTCCTCCATTTGAATATATTCCTCCCGAAGTTTCACGTTGAAGCACTGTTCTAAAACTGGCAAATTCCGCAGTATTGTGGTTACTCTTAAAATTTCTGCTTTAGAAATTACAAATTGAAAATTCTATACAACACGAGCTGTGTTATGAATCAAACTTGCTATGACGATTTCATTCCTCGTAAGTGCGCCAAAATAGATACATTCCTAGACCAGGCATGATTATGAATCGAATAACAAAGTTGAAGAATCTGAAGCAGTTTCCTAGGAAAAAAACCAAATCCCTTTTGGCGGCTGCAGTGAGAACGAGAACCTTCGAAATTCTTGGTTTGATTCCAAAGGGATTCTCTCCTTGTTGAGAAACTCATGAATTGGTGGAGCAATCGGACCATAATGCTTCATCCCTCGTAAGAAATTGAGAGAACTGGGATAAGGAAAAGTATTAACCAAAATTAACAACCAGATTAAATCCCATGTCGAGCAGAATACAAATTGTTGTTGAATTTTTACCTATTCTGAGTAATAAAAATCGGATCTTCTTCCGGGATTTTAGGCACAGAGGATGAATCTACAGGCAGGGAAGATCAAGCCGGTAAAACACAACAGACAGATAGTGACTCTATACTGAGAACACCAAGTGAGAGGCTTCCATTTGATTTCCACACTTGAACTCTTCATTCTCTTCCCAATCTGAGGCTCTTTCGACAGATCAAAGCTTGCCCCTTTCATCCTCAATTCCTGAATGAACCGCGTCAGTGCCCGACCGTCCACCCTTTCCCTCTGCAACTGCCTGTCCACTTTCCAGTACCTGCAAAGTTTCACCTGTACCAAAAACACAAGTACAAGAGAAGTACACAAAGATAAAATAGATGGGATCCACCATTTTTTGCACACATTATGATGCTCCTCTAATGAAGATGTAAACAAGATTGTCAAGAAAATGCCATGGAAAAAGAAGAAAAAGCAACAGAGTTGGAAAATTTCTCTTCCGATAGAGTCCATTCTCTTTTCTTTCATGGCTATTCTCCGGCCAAATAGGTCTTCCTCTCTTTGCCAAAGCTTGAGAAGCAAGAAATGGCCAGGACTTTGAGAGATTTCTGTTAATGGGTGCTGTTGGATTGCAGAAATTGCGTTCATGGCACATATTAATTTCTTCTGATGCTCTTCGTCGACTGGGATTTCGACTATGTGAGCGTCATTTATTTCTGCCATTGGTTAGAATGCTTCCAAGAAAATAAAAACAGATTACAGATATAAACAAACAAATTTAAAAACAGCAAGTATGATGTAGAAATTATGCGCAGCAAATAGAATTCGAGAGAGATTCAAATGGATTTTGTTGCTTGATTTGGTGAGGGAAATGAAGGAGTTTCGGATATTTAAATGGAGGAGAAACCCTGACTTGCAACGGTCATATTTCGCCTGTTGCTGGCAACGGGGGATTGGTAACGGTCAGAATTTTCTTTTTCGATTTTTAATGCAAATAAGAGGAAGAGGAAAGTGAAAAACTCTCAATTTTCCCCTTTCTATCCAACCAAAAAACGATTTTAAGGAAAAACCGTACAAAATGGTAATATTTACAACAGAAATTTTGTAAATTGTGTTGTGTATAGTGAATTTTTTCTTTATTTACTTTCACATTTATGTCCCCAACTTGTTTTGGTCAATTTTTTATAATCAACATTCTATTAATTTGCATAATTTTATTACTGATGATGGTTTCGTTCAAAAAATTTGTCATAAAAAAATTTATTTGTGTCTCGTAATTTTAAATAATCGAAATAAACAACAAATATAAAAGTTTGACAAAATATTTGTATTTCATTTCAATGGACGTTAGCAAAAATATTTAGACAGAAATCGTCATCAAGACAATGCAAAATAAACAACAGATATAAAAGTTTGACAAAATATTTGTCTTTCATTTCAATGGACGTTAGCAAAAATATTTAGATGAAAATCGTCATCAAGACAATGTATGCTAATTAATTGAAATGCAAGGGCAAATACCAAAAAAATTGAGGACTTAAGTATAAAAATGAACAAATATTAAAGAATCTTCACTACAATTTAAATATGGTGGGAGTAATAAAAAATTATGGTGTGATTGTAATTATCTTATTAGGATCGTAAATTTTGTATCAGTTTATTGTTTCTTATATTTGTTGATTTCAGTTATATTTATAACTCAACAATTTTAGAGTTATGAAACTATTCCTAGGTTCCAATATAGGGGTGGGTAGTTTTTTTTTTAAATCTACAATTGATGGGATTTTAGCGAGATTTCAATAGTCTAATTGGGTCAATCAACTATAATTTTAGTTAAATTACTAAACTTTAATTTTAATTTCAAAATTTACAACTCCATCAATTTATCGTATTTTAAACGAATGACAATTAATTAGTTGATATAGGAACCGTTCTCTCACAAAATTGATCTGTGACATACCTATTTATCATTATGTCCTACTATAATAAAAAAGTCAGTTTTTGGTCGATGTAGATGCAACAGTAACCCAATGAGATGTTATTGTTTATTTTTTCAGATTTCACTAATTCGGTCCTCCAATTTTCACTACTATGTAAAAAAAAAAAAAAAAGAAGCAATTTTCACTGTTTCGTTGTATATTGTCTTTCTATTTTGAGGAATTTGATTTTATATCTTGAAAATTGGTTCCAAGCATCTTAACTAAAAAAAAGTCTCTGTGTGGGCGGAGACACCGTGTCCGTGTCTCCGGGCAGCGCGTAGACTTTTTTTTTGGAGGGAAAATGTCTATCTATCATTATTGAAATGGCAAATGGTAGGACCAATTTCCCGCACCAATTTCCCCTTTCCCGCAGCTTCGTTCCTCTTCAGCCATTTCCTCTTTCCTCTTCGATACCCAAAATCAAATATTTTCGTCTTCTACCGGAGTCCCCTAGCTTCCCGACCAATGAAGAGCAGGCATTGTCGACCAATTTCATGCACCCATTTCGTCTTTCCCCCAGCTTCCTTCCTCGGAGAGTCTGCCCAAATCTTCTATCCTCGGAGAGTCGGCCCAAATTAGAAACTCATATAAAGGTAAATTTTAAGGAATTTCAACTGCAATACTTCAGTAGCTAATTTTGTTACAACACGGGATTAATCAAAATTGAGGAAAAACGTGTTCTTTCTTCCTGTTTTTGATTTGTTATGCAATCTGAACTAAATGCAACACTTCAGTAGCTAATTAACTTTGATTTGGATACAAGAGCAGCCGATCTTGGAGCTAAAATCAGTTGTGGCCAGATTCTTAGCAATTTTTGTCATTATTATAGTCAGTTTTATGACATTTAGCTTGATTTATTATACTGGAAGAAATATGAGAACATAAATAAGATAGGCCAAACAATGAAGCTCCAAATTCGGCTATGCAAAGAGGCATCATAAATAATTGTCATGCATTTATTTATTTTGTTAGATGTTGTCTGAGTTATAATCGTTCAACAACTCTTCTGGCCACTGAATGTTTTAAGTTAAGTCCTTAGCAGTTGAAATGACTATCCACATTCACTATAACCTAAACATAGCAAATGAAATTATAATTGTGCTATATGTTGATAGAAATTGACCGTTGTTTTTTTCATAACAAAATAAAGTATGGACGACGTGCAAGATAAGCATGATGATGTCTTGGTGCTATCTGAGAGTGAGAATGTTACGGAGCCCGTCAACGTAGTGGAAGGTGAAACATCTATGGGAGCAAGTGTGATTGTGCTGGAGGTTGGAATGTTGTTTAAAAATGAAAAAGATATGTATGATTTTTACAAGAGATATGCTTACTCGGTGGGTTTTCCAGTTAAGAAACGAAATTCGAAAAAGGGCGACGATGATATTGTAAGATACGTGACCTTGACATGTAGCCGTGAAGGGGAAAGAATCGGGAATAGTAGATGTTCTATGAAGCCGCAACCAACAGTTAAGATGGGTTGTAGGGCCAGGATATCTGCATCTGCTGATAGTTTTGGAAACTGGAGAATTAATGCTGTAAACCTCGATCACAATCATGAAATGAGTCCTTCTAAATCCAGATTATATCGATGCAACAGACAATTGAGTGCAGATATGAAACAAAAGCTTGAGGTAACTGATTTGGCAGGAATTTTGTTGCATAAAAGTTACAACTCTGCAGTGGTAAAAGCATGTGGGTATCAGAACATGACTTGTATTGAGAATGATTGTCAGAACTATATAGAACGATTGAAGCGATTAAGACTGGGAGAAGGAGATGCGGCAGCAATTCAATCCTACTTTTCAAAAATGCAAGCACAATGCTCGGGATTTTACTTTAGTATTGATTTAGACAAGGAGTCGCGGCTGCGTAATGTATTCTGGGCAGATAATCGGTGTAGGCAGGCGTACAAAGAGTTTGGCGATGTTGTTTCATTTGATACCAGATATCCCACTAATAAGTATGACATGCAATTCGCCATTTTTGTAGGCGTAAATCATCACGGACAATCGACACTGCTAGGTTGTGGTTTGGTGTCGAACAAGGACGCAAATACTTTTGTGTGGTTGTTCAAGACATGGCTTCAATGCATGCACGGTCAGGCTCTACATGGTATTATTACCGATCAAGACAGGGCAATGCAAAATGCCATTCAGATTGTTTTTTCGAATATAAAGCATAGATGGTGTTTGTGGCACATCTTGAAAAAGTTGCCAGAGAAGTTTGACTACCACATAGATAAGGGTTCGATTTTTGGGGCTATACACATATTGGTATACAATTCGCAATCCATTCAAGAATTTGAAGCCGGTTGGAGCACGATGATTGATACATATGGGTTACATGGCAATGAATGGCTATCGGGGTTGTATGAGAACAGAGGACGTTGGGTTCCTTGCTTCTTGAAAACTACTTTCTGGACAGGGATGTCAACTACACAGCGAAGTGAGAGTATGAATGCCTTCTTCGATGGTTATGTGCACTCAAAAACCTCATTGAAACAATTTGTCGAGCAATATGAACGGGCCTTAAAAAATAAAGTTGAGAAGGAGTTTCAGGCTAATTTCAAGTCATTCTTGCAAATGGTACCATGTGCAACACAATTCGAAATGGAACAACAATTTCAATCAGTTTACACGATCTCAAAATTTCGTGAATTTCAAGAAGAGTTTATGGGAAAGGTGTATTGCGACGTGATGTCTACGGTGGAAGGACATTTCGATACGACATATGAAGTACATGAGACTGTTATGTACGATGGTTTTCGGCGGAAAAAGACATTCAGCGTGGTGTTCATGAAAGACACATTGAAAGTTGTTTGCAGCTGCCACTTGTTTGAGTTTTGGGGAATATTATGTAGACATGCGATCACAGTAATGGTCCGGAATGAAGTGACACATGTCCCAGATAGGTACATACTGCGGAGATGGAGGCGAGATGTTCGTAGAGCACACACGAGGGTTGCAGTACACTATGATGGGTTAGATAGTACTCCGGCACAATTAAGATATGAAGAGATGTCCAATGGTTTTGCCGAGGTGGCCAACCTTGCTGCAAATGATGAAATCCGTTCACGCACAATAATGGAGTGGATAAAGGTTCAATGTATAGAGCTTACAACCACGAAATCGAGTACATGAAGTAATAATGTTCATTCGCAACATGCTACTCAGCTCCTCAGCATTGGTAATGATTTAGCAACCAATTCAAGCGTTAGCGTTTTGGATCCAAAACACACTCGAAGAAATGAAGCGCCTAGGAAATTTAAGAGGAAAAGCCCATTGGAGATTGCATCGAATAAAGCGAAGGTCCATTAAGTGGAAAATTACCTTTGATGTCATTTATTTTTTCAAGTTACTCAATTTAAAATTACCTTTGATGTCATGTAGGCTGGATCGACGTCTGTGACTAGTAAGTGGTCGAAATCAAGCCTCCATAATGTGGTTAATGAAATCAATCAATGTTCAACCACATGAACAACAACTACAACCCATGTTGACACCGACTCCAATATCTATTTCACAATATTCCATCCCAACACCATTATCCCTCTCACAACACCTATCTTCTTCCAATTTCATCCACCAATCGTCTGCGGACTTTATGTATGATCCTCAAGGTATAAATTGTTCTCTTATTGATGAGTTGACACTTCACTTCACCGTGATTTCATAATTAACGGTTCACATGTATTCCAAATGTAGGGCAATGTATGTCGTTATGCTATCCAAACTCGATGCG